ACTGAGAGTCCTAAACTAATTGTGACCAATAAAAAGTTAAAATCACACTCGTTGATGAACATCCAACTTTTTCTAATGGAACTCACTAATTTCGCTCTGACTTAGGCGTTATAGCGCCTGAGCTTTTCGAGGTCAAAAGCCAACAAAACCTTGGTTTTTAATAAAGTAGTCATCCATTTTCGAATGAACTTCCCACAAAAATAGTATCTACTGGAAAATAGCAAAATAAACTGGCCTCCTTGGTGAGGAGACTTCCATCAATCCCCTAGGCCGTGATGGGGCCACCGCAAAGGTTTTACGTGGGACAAATATACGTCATCCTACAACCGAGAGCGTTACTTGCTCCAGACTTCGGTGCAGTAAGCTGGCAGACGAGTAATGTCTAATACTTCAGTTGTGTAAATCATTGTTCACAGGATATTTTGTGTCCTGTGGTGGGTACATGTCATTAACCTGAAGATGTATAAAGACAATCATTCGTGGAATCGACTCTGGCGTCGATTATTAGATAAAACTCCTCAAAGAAGCCTTCTATCAACCAAAACACGAGAGGTATCCGCCTCAGCTATGTTCAGTGGATATTCAGACTATCAGAGCATGAACTCCAGAACACAATTTCTCCACCCTTGCCTCCCGTGGAGATAGCATTTCTGTCTACTGGAAGCATGTACGGCAGTGACAGCTTTGGAAGTTGAAATAGCCTGGTCTATCGAAAAACTGGGTCTTTGATCGCAAATGAAAATTGTGCTAGTTCACAGGGGAAGTAAAAGCATTTGGGTCGATAAGTATTAACAGCAGAAGAAGGAATGTATCTAGTAAAATTATCGGACCAGTTTTGAAGCAAAAGTAACCGAAAAATACGACCAGTTAATTAAGGACCTTCAAAGAAGTTTCCTTTTCAAACATCTTCATTAACCTCCAATTGTTAGCTCAAGCATCTGGACGTTTGTGATATTTGAGACTAGGAAAAAATAGATTTAAACACTCCCCGACAGTTCCACGTAATTCAGAAGCACCTCGATCATAACCTCTCCACTTTCAGTCTGGTTCATTCAGAGTATAAAACATGGGTAGGGGGTAGGTTCATACAGCAAGGAACTACACGCTATCTATGGCATTTTTTCGAGCACTTCTATGGTAATTAAGCTGTCATAAACATTCTGTTGCGTCTTTCTCGTCAGTTATCTCAAAAAAGTATCCTGTCAAATCTATAATTCTGATTGGATCATCTACCTGCCTAGAAGCGGTCAATATTACTGTTATTTGAGAAGAGTCTTTCTTCCAATGGCGATCACTCACATAACGCCAGAGTGAAATAAAAATTCGATTTCACTAAACATGCGCGGAGCTCTGCCAGCCCCCATCAAGCTTAGTGGTTGCCTGGCGACTGTTGGAGGTAACCATATTTCCGTCAAAGGACATCTATGTATTACTTACGACTTCGTCCAAGGAAGCCATTTCCGAAGCCGGACTGTTGCCATTGGGCGTAGATGGCTTGTCCTCTAATTCTCCTTTAGGCACATTACCAGGCTCAGCAGCCAGTTCGGCATCAATTTGCTTCTCGAGGTGGACAATCTCCGGCACCTCCATTCCGAATTTGCCGCCAAGCCGAGCCACTTCCATCAGGCAGACAATCACGCTGCGCAGATGCCTTTTCGACACCAAGTCCTCCGTCTCGAAGAGGATGCTGTCGGGAAATCCTACTGAGCGACACCATTTAAGGAAGTTCGCTATATTATCGCGTGCCCAGAAAGATCCACCCGCGAGGTTCTGTGATTTAAGTCCCCGTGAATTATATTTTGGTGGTTCTGCGGGAAGGAAAGCATTAACGCCACCAACACGCACCCCCTGCAGTCGCCGTCTGCTGTCCTTTTTCGAATCTGAGTCGCTCTCAATTATGCGGCGATGCAGTTCACTTGCGTAGTGGCACAGAAGTGTGCCATCAGAGATTTTTTCAAAGAAATTGTCGCCTTCCATATCGCCGGCAAGCTCTGGGAAGAGACGAGACATCCATTCGGCGAGGTCCTCAGCCATTGCCGCCGAAAATTCGTCCCGCGCCCCCCTGGTCTGGGCCTCGGAATCAGATTCAGTCGTC